AACTGGGAGAGATCCTCCGTCTGGTGGTGCCTGTACCAGTCCTCAATCACATCTTCATACTCCTCCACCAGCACATCGCACTAGGGCAGAGGAAAGCCAAGCTCTAGATGTGCTGGTGCAGCAGGACCAGGGCCACAGCCAGGGCATCAGGTCCTGCCAACATCCCCAGACCCTCTCTTCCCCTGTACTCCAACCCACAAGGGCCACTGAGGGCCATTCTCACTGAGCCAGGTACCTGCTTTTTGAGGTCAGCCACCTCTGCAGATGTCTCGTTCCACAGCTCATAGGGGATGTCCATCACCACCTTGACACCCTTGTGCACCAGGTTGTGCAGGGTCTCGAATGTCTCCGACATGCCCTGAGGGAGCAGCACTGCCCAGTGAGGCAGTGCCTCTCCTGCCAGACTCCCACTCTCCCCTCCCAGCCCCACAGCCCTGCCCAGCAATGCAGGAACATGCATGCCAGCCAAAGTCAGGATCCCCAGGGCATCAGTGTCCCCCACTACAAACCAGGTCCCAAACCCAACAAGAAGACAGCATCTGTCTCCCTCCTGCCCTCCCCACCCCCCACAGACAGCACCCTGCACCCACTTGGGGGGCAGCATGGCCTTGCATGCCAGGGACTGCAGGGGGATCCAGAGGATGGGAAAGATGAACCCCAGTCTGTCACCTCGACAGTGCAGGGATGGATGAGGGACATTTGGGAGCAGGGAACTGGAGGGCAGCTCTGACCTTTGCAAATCTGTTACTGCCGCTCCTCTCCTTGTGAAGGTTGTAATCCAACAGCCGCTTACAGATGTTCTCCGTCACCTCAATTAACCGGATGTCCCTGCATGGAGAGGAGGGAGGGCTCAGGCTCAGCATGGCCCCCTAAGAACAGCCAAAGTACAAAGTTCTGCAGACCACAGACAGCAGGAGACCACCAGTCCCACTCCCACTTACGACTGTGTGTACTTGACAGCAGAGCCCTTCCCGTCCAGGAAGCCATACTTGGTGTCAATCACCTCCTTGGTCTTGCCAGTCTCCTCAAAAGCGGATTTCAGCTCCACGGCCACGTACTTGCACACTGCAAGAAGGAAGGTGGGTTAGGTGACTGTTCTGACAGGCAGCATGGCAGAGCACCCGGGACAGCAGCAGGAACCAGCACCCTTCGCCAGGCACACCACGCTTGCTGTGAGCACAGGACACACATCAGCCATTCAAAGCAATAACCATGAATGGAGAACTCTTGGAGCAGGAACACCCAAACCAGTGATTCAGGGTAAGCCAGCCACTAAGGCACAGCTGAGAATTCAGACAGGGCCACTTCTGCCTGCAGGTCTCCTGACAGTTCCAGCTTCCCCTGAAGCCTCTGCCTCCATGCCACAAGCTGCTCTTTTCCTCTTGAAAGAGGATAGGGTCTTTTCACAATGCAAGTCCCAGCGTAGGTCACAGCTTCTTCTATGATCATAGCACATCCTACCTGGAACCACTTTGCTGGGGATGTAGGGGCTGTGCTGGGGACCGAGCAGCTGGCAGGGCTCAGCAGGCTGGGAGGCAGAACAGGGTGCTGGCTATGGTCTGTGTGACCACCAGAGAGGCAGTCAGCTCCAGCAGCATAGCCTGAGGCACTGCCTGCAGCAGAGACCACAGCACCAACAGCTTTAGAACACAGTACAGAGTTTCTTTTGTAAAACTAAAAAAAAAAAAAGCTTTATTTCTTCTGTAATAAAAGAGTCCAACAGAGCTATAGAAACAAAGAGCAGGAGAAATATCTCAGGAGTTTACAAGTGGAGATGTGGAGGGATGGAAAACAGGCACGGTGTGGCCCTTCCTTCCCCAAAGCTAGGGTTTCAGGAGGCCGGAGAAAGTCTTGTCCTGTGCTGCAGGCTCCTGTTTGCAGGCAAGCACCTCTTCAAGAGAAAGGCCAAGCCCCAGCAGAAGCAGTCTGACAGCAATGAACCAACGTGTCTTCATCCAAGCAATGTGGAGTGGAGAGATGTGCCACAGGCAGGAAGAGAGCGAGGTGGCTCATATGCTGAGAAGCCCTCTGCACACCTCCTGCACAATCCTTTCCCTGCTGGCAGCAGGAGCTGGAGGTGACTGCAGCCATTTCTCAGGGAGAATGAGTGTTTCTTCCTGCTGCCTGAGGACTTGAAGATGTTCCTCTCCACACCAACCCTGCTGTAGTGTCCCCACACATGCCAGGAATGCTCACTGCTGTGTCCAGTTATCCAGATGCTGCCCACAGCTATTGCTGCATGCTGACACAGGTCCCAAGCCTGGGCAGGAAGAGGAGCAGAGCATGGTCAGTGCTTGCTCTGATGCTTCTCTGAGCATACATAGGTGCCACTCAGAGCTCAGACATCAGTGTCTCCAGAGCTGCTTCCCTGGCAAGGAAAGCTTTGTAAAGAGCTCAACATTTCTTTCTTTACTCTCTGCTGTCCAGCTCCACATGTTCCTGCATAGCAAGGACAGAGGAAACCACACAGCAGGCAGCAAAGGTCCGTCACGACCTGCCCTGGGTTGCCTGTCAAGCCCGTGATTGCCAATGAAACCACGGGGCTGCTCAGAGACGAAGCATCACTAACACCGAACTGTAAGCAGCAACCAATCGGTAAGCGATCAGTGCCTACCGGGAACAGCAGTGACCGTGGGCAGGAGGCGGACGGAGGGGCAGGAGGCGGACGGAGGGGCAGTCCC